GCATATACCATGGAGAGTGCTCTGAGGAATTGTTCGGATTAATCCCAGCCGCCAAATTTCGTGAACGCACTACGCGGCAAACGTCCCGATACCATCCACACCATCTGGATGCTTGGCGGTCCACCACTGTACGTTTCAAAAGGAGTTTTTTTCCGCGTACAACCTCTCTGTGGAATAATTTACCACCAGCGATTTGTCCGGACCGATACGACCTGGGGACCTTCAAGAAAAGAGCTTACTCCTTTCTAAAGGGCCGGCAACGCGTCTGCAATTCCCCTGGTGTTGCAGTTGATCATGGGCGGCGGTAGTCACTTAACATCAGGTGAGCCACATGCTCGTTTGCCCCCTCTTCTATAAAAAAAAAAAAAAAAAAAAACACGTGTCGTATTATCGTCGATGGTGTGTCTTTCCTGGAATAGTGGTGTTGGGAGTAGTGGTGCTGGAATTAGTTTTGACGGGATTGGTGCACGCAACTGAGGGAGGGCGGGAGGTGCTCTTCAATCCAGGAAAGACACATCATTGTATTTAATTAGCAGATGGTTGCAAATTAATTAATACCTTTATTATAATGGATTTCCGCAAAGTAACGCCTGATTCTATCAGTTATTTTTTATTGTTTTGAGTTGTTATCAGGAAGATGCTGCTGCTCTTCTTCTTTCTCATTTCGATATGTCACCTCTTACAACAGCCACGGGATATGTGGTTTTGGATATTCTTATATTACGACTACACCGCCAGAATAACCAGACCGATTACTTGTGCTAAATGAGCAAGACGACGTCTGGTTGCGATCACCGAATCAGAGCATTCGATAGAATCTACTGAGCATAGTGATAATTAAAATTATAGATTATTATTTACGTATGTTATTAGTTATATATTAAGAGCCCACGTTAAACTGTGGACAGTTGCCTAATAAAGAAAAAGAAAAGAAAAAGCTTTAACAAGTGTATACTTCGATGGTTAGATTGAACATATTAAATTATCCGAGTTCAATTCTCAATTAAAGCTAATAATAATTTTGGTAGGAGCACGATGGAAACCATCACCTAAACTCATACCAGAGTTGTCGTAAGAGACACAGGAATTACTCAGATCTTATGGCCTTTAGAAAGCGTTAAGTACATCTCATTTTTATGAAAGACAAGCGACCTGCCCTGACTTTACATGAGTAGGATCTATCAGTGTGGTGTTATTGACATGTATTCATATAATATATATCCTAGAGTACTCCTGGTTGCTCTCTATCTATTCGTGAATCTTTTTTTATTATTGGTTTCCGTAAAAATAAACTCGGACAGACATACCGACAATTAATTTAAAATGATTTTAATGACATGCAAATATCCCCCGCAGCTCAATTTAAGGCAGTTGTTTTGTTATTATTTGATACTGATACGACTAAAGGACCTTCAAGAATAGAGCCTACTCCTTTTTAAAAGGCCGGCAACGCATCTGCAATTACCCTGGTATTGCAGTGGTTCATGGGCGGCGGTAATTATTTGGGTCATTTGGCCCCTCTCCAATAAAAAAATTTACACACAGACACTTAAATTTTATTTATATGTATGTATATGAAAGCCCCAGATCAAAGACGGGAAGCTGCGTCGTAGATGAGAAAAGCTCATATTGAGATCACCATTCACCTGCCAATCGTACCAATTATACTAAGTATTGTATAGATACGACGGGCAAAACCCAATTGCAGCAAGGCTTTTTTTTATAGAATAAGGGGACAAACTTGCACACAGTCCACCTGATGGTAAGTGGACCCTGTGGCCCATAGACATCTTCTTTTATCCTCGATTAAGATTCAAAACGCAGATGACTTGTCACCCCTGAGGACTAAGATGGAATGCCACGTTTATTGTAAAACAGAGTCTCCGAATCTCAACTCAATCTCTCTATACTCACCATACAAAACACAGCAGTATCAAAGAATATATACACTACGCGAAAAGAAACGACACTTAAGCATGTCGCTCATTTGGTGCAACAATGACGTAATTACACTTTAAGAAATTTTACAGGAGATCGAATCAAAGATTTCTATTAAAGGTATGACATTTTGAAGGGACTTATTACAATCGTCGTGATTTTAAATGTAAGTGCAATATTTATGTAGTTTCTATTATAGTCCCAATCTACTCGTTACATTGTACATAACCTAGATTATAGACCTAAATAAAAGAAGGTACCTGTAAATACGTCACTGTTGCTTCAGAATTCAATATAAAAAATAACGCGTCTGCTAGGAAATTTTGCATTTGAGACAAAATAAAACTAAATAATTTAATTAATCAACGTAAACATTTATTTATGAATGTTTAAAAAATAAACTTAAGGAAAAACATCCATGTAGGTATATCCTGTGTTCACTAGGTTTACTTAAGATTAAAAGGGGAAACATCTTAATACTTAACTATGCTCACAATTTGTAAGTCTTATTGGCACAAAATCACAGATTATTTACTTATCTACTTTTAACTAAGTGATATGCGCTAGTATGCGCGTAAGTGTAAAAATACTTAAACAATAGAAATAAAAAATTTTAGAAAATACTTTCATAAAAAGCTGAGTAATACCGAAGAATTGATTTTTTTGTAACAGTTCTTTTAAATCATTTATCTTGTTTGCGGAAATTTCTTTTTTTGAAGTATACGCTGGAACCACATAGATATCTTCTATAGCCTTAGTTATTCGTTGACTAGTAGATCTTTGTTTCTTTTTTTATTTCAGCATCATTCCAGTTATCGTCGAATTTGAGTTTGTACTTGTATACTGCATCATTGTTTTTTGTAAATTCTATTGCTTTCAGATCTGAGGTTTTTATGGTGTTTCCTTCTACAACTTTGACAGTGTTAAGTTCGATTTCGTCCGATAATTTTTTCAAATCATAAAAATTATCGAAATTCAGTTCTTCAACAATAAATTGGTTACGTTTTATCTTTGCAGATCTTATTATTTGTACATACTTATCTGGTACATAAATAGCGCCCGATTTTTTAGCTCTTTTTATTGCCTTTTCAATTATGGAGTGGGCCGTATCTCCCTCATTTTGGGTATGTCCCCTTATTAAAAATTTGTGTGTGATTTTATTGATTGGTAGAGTTTTGACTGCATACAAGTACATGGAAAATATAAATTTAAAAAAAAATATAGAAAATATTAGACACTGCATAAAACTACAAAAAAGTTCTTAACAAATGAAATGAACCTGTTTTTTCGTTGCCCGCCACAATTGTCGCTATAAAATGTGATGTTACAACCAGGGTGATTATTAGCAACACGTTGCAGGTATTTAAGGATACAGGAACCAATCTCAATTGCTCCTCTACCTCCCATAGCCTCATGCCAAAAGTAACAATAGGTTTGCCGGTCCTTTACATCTGATACCTATAAAACAAGACGGTTATCAAACTATTCATAAAAAAAAGTGCATAAAATAATATTTTGAGCCATAATAGGTACATACTGTAAAGTTAAAGTAGTTCAATTTTGATTTCTAGTAAAAAGACGAGGACTCGCCGACTGGCACTGGCATGACTGTTTGAAGATCATAAATTGCAACTATTTCATTACTATCTATATTCTTACATATTTCTATATCAGTCTTCTTTTCCATTCGACTAAGTACTTTCTGCCGGCAATGTTCTGTGTAGTCAGCCTCTAGTTTTTCTTTCTCCTAACCAACAGCATTTTTATATTGTTCACATACATCGCATTGGTCTTTTTTTTTTGGCACAAAAAAAAGAAATATTGAATTCCGTATTAATTATGCGAAAGTATGAATCGTAAGTTGCAGCCTCTTTGTTTTCGGATTCTCTTAATCTCTTATAATCGCGATGCAGATCAACTATTGTTAGGCCACCATCAATATATTTTCTAGTGATGTTAGCACGGAGATAGTGACTTCCAATTCTACTAATTGAATTTATATGAATTCGAACAGACTCTTGTACCTCAGAACTAGTTTTTCTATGGTTTTTATGGCAGCCGCGTTTGTCAATTGGTGCTACGCCTTTAGATTCATTATTTGTCTTGGCCTCGATTACGGTACGTAAAGTACGTTCGGAAATCCCCAATATATTTGTGGCGGCGCTGTCGTCGCGCCGCAAGCGAAACATACCGAAGCTTAAATCACGCTATCAACATTCCGAATCATAAACAGCATATATAGGACATCTCCGAACTATCACTCGGAGTGTGAGCCGTGTGTTTGCCTTCCTCACCGGCCACATATTCAACAAAAATAATTTGCATACCCTGAAACTCTTACCATTAGACATCAAGGAATAATAAGTATTAGGTTTTCTGTTCTTTTCTACACCAGTTTTCAAACGACGTTGTGCCACAGTGTGTTGAGTTGTAGCACAGTTATTGTCGAATTCAAAAAATCACGCTGTCTTTGGAGAGAGGATAAATCCCAATACATTTTGAAAATATCATATCTTTGCTCCTCTGAGATGTGTACTGAACATTTATGTTTGCACTTGTTAGAGCACGGGGGCTTAATCTCTTTAGCAGGAATGATCTTGCCCGTCCGAGAAATATACTCCTGACCTGAATTCTTTAGCTGAGCACGTTGATTTTTCCTCCAAGCCGCTGGATTTCTTACCCTTTTTTTTGTTTTCTTAGGTGATTCTGGATTTTGATCAATGTCAGGAGATTCATTATTTCGAATACTAATGTTATAGTAAATGTTGTTGTCTTGGTTTAAAATAAAATATAGGTTATTTATAATTATAATAAGGTATATTATATCAACCTTATTATAATATATTATATATATTATAATAAGATTGATTCTGCAACAAAATTGCAACACTTTGTGTAGAAGTGTTCTTAGATGATGAAGAGCTCGATGATGTGCAAGAACTTGAAGAAGAAGAATTCGATGATGATGATGATCTACGTCTACTACCTATTACTGGATATGTACGTTTAACTTTTTCAGGACGGTATTCTTCTCCACTGTCGTCTATCGTCTCGAATACACATTATGATGCAGAAAAATCTGCATTATAACGTGTATTCATTTCCGGTACATTATCATAAGCCAATGACTTTGACTTTGTTTTCAATGTCATATCAGAACCCACAGTTTGGCCAACACAAGTTGGTGAATCAATTGGAGCTTGAAAGTTTGATGCATTTGTGTCTAAGTCAGGTACATCATATTGTGGCATATTATTTCCACAACGAATTACTTTATTTTTTGTTATAAATGTATCTTTATCATTCGCTGCAACAAAATAAATATTTGTTTAATAAATCACAACCGTAAGTACGGTCTATCTCATCAACCGATTACTACTTACTTTTAATAGGTGGATAAGGTAGGTACTTTTGATTGTGATTTATTAAATAAGAATTAACTAACATACTACAAACTTACCATCTTTAAATCGCTTATTAACTTCTGAAGCATTTGGTTTTGCAAATGGTGGTACTTTCCCTTCCATTGTACAATAGTTCATCAATCGTCTTGCACGGTTATCCATCATTAATTATGTTCTTAACTGAAAGTTTAAATTAATTTCGTTAATTAAGTAATATTGGTTATTATAGGCTTATTATTTACCTAATACATTTAACTATCTCCTAGTCATACTTTTCTCACTGTCAAAATGTCAAAATTATAATTATATAATTATACACCTAATCGTACTGGAATAACAATGACACAGTTACGTAATTCCGTCTATTTTCAAAAAAAGAACATACTTTATTTGCAGTAATAAGGACGTAATTACACAATTCTGACATCGTTTCAGCAGCTTAATAATTTATCTGGAGAAAAAACGACGTGATTACTCAATTTTGTCATTGATCTTTAAAAGAAATACAATATTGGAGCTATAATGACATATTTACAAAATTCAGTCGTTGTTTCACCAAGAAGATACTTTAGTTGGAGAAACATTGACGTAATTACGCAATTTTGTTATTGTTTCTCCAAGAACTCACTAATTTTAATAATTAATTACTCAATTAAGGCATTTTTGCAACAAAATTTATCGGATTAAACGTCATAAATACCTTTAAGTCGTTGTAGCTCCCAAACACAACCACACTCAGCGGGCGGGACGCCCCGCGCAACTGGCCTTCCAGAAGTTGTAGCAACAGAAATGGCGCCATTTTACTTAATTCTACAAAGACACTCGCTCCATCTCGCGACAAATCACCACAAATTAAATTCTGTCGATGTTTCACCCGATGTAAATAGTCTTTTCGCACATTTTGACATATTTAACTTGTTTTTAAAAAAGAGTGTAATTACGTCATTGTTGCACCAAATGAGCGATGTGTGCACGTAAAATCGCTTTCGGCTATGTGTGGTTGTATGGATGTGCGGGCAGTCGCCGACTGCCCTGGCCGAGGGCTAGTAGTAAAGATGGGTTAATACCGATATTTGTCAGTATTAGTTAATTTGAATATATTCGTCAAGTGATATATTAATTGAAATAATGTAATTTCAATTAATATATGAATATTACTGATATCTTAATACGACGACGACGACGATATTACTATTCTCTCTCTCTCTCTCTCTCTCTCTCTATATATATATATATATATAAATTATACTAGCTACGAATTTTTGCAATTGTTAGAAATAATAATGAAAATTATAAAAGTAATCGAAAAATTCAAAAATATATAAGAGTAAATTAATTTTTAAAGAATAGTAGGTAAGTACTGAAATACTAAGTGTTGGTTAATTATTTAAGATTACCATTAACTGTCGTGCATATTTGGTTTTGTCGGAAGTTTACATTTTAAAAATATTTAATAAAAGTTGATTTAAAATTGAACATATCTTTCACTACCCAAATACATAAGTTTACATAATATATAACATACACCTACTATGTTCTTTGGTAAAAGTCTATAATATTCCATTTCGGGTCGATATCAACCCTAGCGTTACACGCTTCGACTCAAGATCACAGGCGCTTAAGCCGTCACGTACAGAGAGTGTCACCGCTGTGGCAGTACGCTAGTATTCTGTAAGAGCGTGGTCCTTCCCTTATCGAGCCGACCAATTCGTGCTACAACCATAATATAGCTGCAGCGTGGCTCTGCCATGTATATTTAATGGATTTCTGATAATAGTGATACCGTTACCATTATAGCCTATTAAAATTCATTACTAAACCTAGGCCTATCCCATAGATCGCCTCATAGGAGAGATATTTGCAGTACTTACCATGGTTGGCAAGCGGCCTAGCAACCGCAGTTTTATTGTTTTTCTTCGTTATTAGTTGAAGCCGCTGCCCATCTCCTGATTTGTTCCTCTCTGTCGCCTCTCACGAAATCCACGGGATGATAGTGGATATTCAATATTCATACATCGCCCTTACACATTATTGGTGATAATAATTATATTTTTAAAGATGCTTTTCTAACTTAATTGTAACCATGTCTGTTGCCAATTGTACTAGGTACTATAATTCACGCGCCTTTAATGCTGGTCTCCGCCGTCGGTCTTAGTATCGCTAAACTTATATATGTGACACTTGCGACTTGACTTTGTCCAGTGGTTGTAAAACTTGACCGCTGATTTTAAGGTCATCATTCCCCCGGTTTCTAATCCCGGGTTAATATCTATCGAGATAATCTCGGTAACAGCCCGGAGTCAGGACATTGGCGGTGTTTCACTTCCGTGCCTCAATAAGCACGTAAAGCCGTTGGTCTTGCACCTGATCTCTCTCCAGTAACATGAGTGAAGAAATAAATAGTGCACTTGTGTTTGCACACACACACACACACACTTGGGCACTATAATACAGATAGCCAATTTCCGTTACGACTGGCTGCAGTGATCGAATTTCGGTCGATCGAATCATCTCATTGACACATCTTACGACACCTACAGGATGATATGGGATAGTGGATTTTCTTAATCCATCCCCACCACACTTTACCCCCTATATGTCATCCTTATATTTAGATAAAAAAGATAAAAATGCATTAACAAAATGTTGAACTGTAAAGCTTTTTTATTATTTAAATTTGTCTTGGAGGCATTATGCTCCGAACACTGTAATCATCCCGCCCGCTATCTAACTCGATGACGGATCGCTTATTGTCCGCAGGCTACCGGTCTTACGTGTTTCTTATTTTTAAAATGATGTAACTCTTTTAAGTTGTAGTACCAAATAATGCCTTACTACCTACAAACACAGAATAAATTCAAATAACACAATTTGTGTTACTTACAGTTTTGTCATGGAGAATACAATATGACTACTGGAATTACGCGCGCTCTATTTGTTATTGTAATAAAACACGTAATACTTGTGTGTTACAGGTGATATTTAAATGAGTTGTAAGTTCTGAATAAATTCTATCAGCTTACTTGGCACTTGGATTTAAATTTAAGGATTTATATTTAACTATACATTTATATATTTATGGGGGAAAAAGGTTCGTGTGGCAGCCTCGTAGCCTCGAGGCGTAGTGTAGGGCGACCCCCCACTAGATGGAGTGACGACCTTGCAGGAAGTCGATGGATGTAGGTGGCTCAGGACCGTGCTTTGTGGCATTACTTGGAGGAGGCCTATGTTCAGCAGTGGACTTGTGAAAGGCTGTAATGATGATGATGATACATTTGTGTATTAGTATCTTTATAAGGCATTGTACACAGGTACGCACATTGATGTTGACGTAGTGAGATTTAAAATATAAATAACTTTATGATCTTAATCCTCGGTCATAAAATATTAGTAGCTCGTTCTTGTTTCACAACTCAAAGGATATCGACACCTTTATGTGGAAGTATTTTTGTTGAACAATCAATTCGGCAACATTATTACATGGGCACAAGACCCATTCTCACGATCTTGATTTTATGTCATAAATACTGCAGAAAATAATCTTATTTGACATTTTATAGTTGCGAGTTCAAATTCTTGAAACAGATACTTAAATAAAACACAAAATATTTTGATTTCTTTTATTTATCTAGTATTGTTTTTAATAAATTGTTTAATTCCATGTGTAATGTTGGGTCAGCTATTATAACGGAGTTTAGATTTCTAGAACTGGCGAATCTGAAACCAGATGTCCTCTTTATTGGTAACGAGGCATTTAATCTTAGTGTTCAAGGATGATAACGCATTTGCGTTTTGATACTTAAGCGATGGTAGATGTGTCTATGGGCCACAGCATCCACTTACCATCAAGTAGATTGTTTGCTGGATTGTAACTCTTCCTTTTAGAAAAATCTCCAATTTTTTACACTAGATACATATTTGTCATGATAAACTATTTCATCTTATTTACATCCATCAACTTTATCGACGTGAGAAATAGCGCAAATATGTAAGATATCTAATGATGCGGGTACCAATTATCGAATACCGAATTTATAGAGAAATCTATAACAGGCTACAGTGCAATTTTTGAACGTTATTGAAAAATAATACGATAATAGCATAAATAAAACAGACAATAAAAGAGAATAATAATACTAGCTGACCAAGCAAACGTTGTTCTACTCTTTCCGACGACCCTTTGTCCTATAAAAATCCTTAAATTCGCAATAAAAATATTATATACTTATCGGATAAAAGCTAATCCTATCTCTCAAGTTGATGCAAAATACATTTACAAAATTTTGTTGAAGTCAGTTCAGTAGTTAAGGAGTTCATTGTGGGTGAACAATGTGACACATAATTTTAATATATAAAAATTTACAGTGTGTAAGAGAAAGAGAATTCACTACCTTATATCAACCTAAGAGTCGTTATAGGCGACTCAGGGAATATAAAAATGGAGATGGTCAGCAGTATACTCCTAATATCTTACGAAAAGACTGTGATAGTTAAACCGCCTGCTAATCATGGCAATCATGGCATGACATAGGTCTTGTAAGGCGAGGCGTTCAAATTTACATCACGTTTGATGGATTAATTTTTATAGCATGGGATGACAAACGAGTACACAGTCCACCTGATGGTAAGTGGATGCTGTGATCCATAGACATTCACATTTAGGATAAATTTAAGAATCAAAATGCAAATGCATTTTCACCCCTGAGAACTAAGAAGGAATGCCTCGATTCCAGTAAAAGGGGTCACAACAGCAATACACTGCTATTTTACGCTGGTATTCGGTGAGAGCGTGGTCCTGCCCTGGTCGAGCCGACCCATTCGTGCGATAACTATGATATAGCTGCGGCGTGGCTCTACCACGTACTTTTTTTTTGTTATATAAGAAATAAAAAATATTTAATACAAAGCTGTTTTTACAATTTGAAAGAATATCTACAAAATTAAACAACTCTTCAATAATTCTAATTACATATTATGTATTCTTTATTTTAATGATTACATAATTTTATTTTGATTAATTGTTTAATAACAACTATATTCAGTATAATATCAGTATAAATATTAAAAAACAACTATATTTTGATTTAAAAAATATTAGAATCATAATTAATTAATTAATTAAA